TACAATAGCAAAGACCTGGAACCAACACAAATGCCCATCAATGATAGACTGGACAAGGAAAATGTGGTACATATACACCACGGAATACTATGCAGCCATAGAAAACGATGAGTTGGTGTCCTGTGTAGGGATACAGATGAATATGGAAACCATCATTCTCAGCAAACTGACACAAGAACAGAAAACCAAACACTGCATGTTCTCACTCATAGGTGGATGTTGAACAATAAGAATACATGGACACAGGGAGGAAAGCATCACACACTGGGGTCTTTTGTGGGGCCTAGGGGAGGGACAGCAGTGGGTAGGGAGGTTGGGGAGAGAGAACACAGAGAGAAATCCCAGGTCTAGGTGACAGGGGGATGGAGGCAGCAAACCATATTGCCATGTATAAACCCATGCAACAATCCTGCATGATCTGTACATGTACCCCAGAACCTAAAGTAAAATAAAAGAAATATGTATATATAGCTACAGCCAAACTAATAAAATAACAAATATTTTCTTCTTCAAAAAAATTTTAAATTAAAAAATGCATAAGTTCTTACCTATCAACTAAAGAAGAACTATAATGTCCCTACATAAAAAATATGAACATAGGAAGGAAATGAAAATTCCACAAGAAACACAAAGCATTAATAAAGATAGAGAAATGCCCATCCTAATTGAATACAAAGTAACTGCAAATTACAAGATTCCATCTTTCTGCCTACTAAATTGCCAAATATGGTTTAAGTATACAAACAAACACTGGAGAGCCAATTTACGTGACTGATTGAATACAAATCTCTATTCTCTTCTAAAACCACTGAAAAATAATATTAAAAGAATAAAAGTGTTATAAAACCTATGAGGTTGCAAAGTGAGGAGAGCACAACAGAGAAGAGATATTACAGAATTTTAGAAGGCTGGAAAGCAGATGTATGAGTTGAAACTCAACTAGCCAAGTAGAAAAGTCAAAACTGAAATATCTGCAAGCTGTGGTTGAGAGGTTCTGTCAGCTGAAACATGTCAGAGAACTCCTGGAAGGCTCAGGGACTGGAGGAAGCAGGTAGAAATGCAGATGGTACTAAAAGCACACGTGATTTGAAGTCTCTATCGTAGTGAAAAGCCAACATATCTTCCTCTATATGTTCCCATTGTATGATGATGACTGGAGGTTTAGCCCCTAGGAGAGGCTGAAAAAGAATGATCCTGAACTTGGGGCCTGAAATACATTGACAGCAGAAATCCATACAGTTAAAAGGGAGATTAAGTGAAAGCCTACATAACAAGTGATGAGCCCATTTTTTTACTCCCCTGGGCTCCCCACAGTGGCAGTGAGACTTATACATTGGCTCTATCCTTTATTCTCACACCAGCAAGAGATTTATCCCTAGGGAAACTGATCATCCCAAGAGAAGAAAACCTATGGATAGTAACAAGAGTTCCCAACGTGACTACCTGATCATGGTGAACTCCATTAGCTGACAAGCTCTGCTCATAATATACTAAGAGCTTTTCATAATTTTTTATTGTTTTGCTTCACAATATGGGTGGATCACTGATGATGCATTTGTGGAAAAAAAGCAATTTTAACTTGGTGAAAATAGACATAATTCACCAGGAAGAGATAAAACTTCAAAAATTATTATAAATATTTTCAGAGATAAGAAGAAAACATGGCATATATAAAATGAGAATGGGTTATTAAAAAATGGCCTTTGTAAGCATAAGATGTTTTTAGAGATTAAAAATTATAAGGCTGGGTGCAGCAGCTCATGCCTATAATCCCAGTTCTTTGGAAGGTTCAGGCAGGTGGATCACTCGAGCTCAGGAGTTTGAGACGAGCCTGGGAAACATGGTAAAACCCGTCTCTACAAGAAAAAGAAAAATTAGTTGGGTGTAGTGACATGTCCTCACAGTCCCAGCTACCTGAGAGGTTGAATGGGCAGGACCATTTAGCTCAGGATATCAAGGATGCAATGAGCCATGATTGTGCTGCTCACCTTCAGCCCGGGCAACAGAGTAAAACCGTGTCTCAAAAAAAAAAAAAAAAAAAAAAAAAAAAGAAAAGAAAAAAAGAAAAGAAAAAAAGGAGGAATATGAAATATAGGAGAGAAAAATAAGAAAATGAGAGTTGATTCTAAGTCAATATCTGGGTGAGATGAGTTCTTGAAAGAGACAATAGAAAATTTCTCTAACTTGAAGACAGTTTCTCAATTAAAAGATTCTGCATGAATGAAAAAAGGTGTAACTTATGCACATCAGCATTAATTTTTAGAAGAACTTTAGAGAAAGATAAGTCCTAATAATTGTGATGGGGAATAAGTCACATAAAAAAATCAAGAATCAGACTGCAACACACTTCTTAATGATAAAACCAGAAAATAGAAGGTAATAGAACACAACCTTCAATCCCTTCTGAGGAAAACTAACTACTAACTCAGAATGCTGTATAAAGCTCAACTACAAATTAAACATGAAGATTGACTAAAGACATTTTTCAGAGGTGTAACACAAAAAAATTACTGCCTCTGTACTCCTACAGTAAGCTACTGCAGGGCATGTTTTAGTAAGATGAAAGGGTATAAACCAAACAGAGGATAGCATGTGATCTAGGAAAAAAGGAATATAAGACAGAAAAGAAATAAATAAAATTTCCACAATGATAGGTAAGAAAATTTCAATGAAATCAACAGACAAAATGCCTAGAGAATAATTAAGTTCATACTAGAGCAGGATTTTATGGAAGTCTCCAGGAAGGATCTTGCAAATTGTAATTGGTAAACACTGTATATATTTATTGTATGCAAAGCGATGTTTTGATATATTGTATATATTCATTGCAAACTGATTAAATCAAGTTAGTTAACAAATCCATCACCTCACATACTTACATTTTTTGTGGTGTTAACATTAAATATGTACTCTCTTAGCAATATGCAATTATATGATACATTATTATTAGCCATAGTCACCACACTATACAGCAGACCTCCAGAACGTATTCATCCTCACTGAAACTTTGCAGCCTTTGAGCAGTATCTTCCTATTCCGCCCCCAGCTCCATCCCCAACTCCTCAAACCCCCCAGGCCTTGGCAACCACTGATTCAACCTTTTTAGAGTCTACATGTAAGACAGATCACACAGTATTTGTCTTTCTGTGCTGAATAAGGCATCTTTAAACTCCAGAGAAAATAATTATACAAAATTAAATTTAATAATAGTAAAGTACATAGTTCAGCTGTGCATAAAATATTTACAGTCTTATAAATATTTTGATATAGATATATTGAGAGGACAGAGGAAGGAAATAGCATGTGTGGGAGTATGTTATATATGTAGACAGACATATGGAGAGAGGGGAGAGAGGGAAAAAGGAAGAAAGGTAAACAGAGGGAAGATAAAAGGGAGCAAACAGATAGTTATCAGTGAGAGCTAAATCAACAACTTCCATAGTAGAAAGTCAATACTTAATGACTATATAAGTCTGTTATTCAGAAATATGGATATAAATACTAGAAGGAACAGATAAAAGAGGAAACATCTAAAACAGTCAGAACTGCTCGTAGGAAGAGGAACATCAGCAAGATGGCAGAATAGGACTTTCAAGGACTCGTCCCTGTCCCTCCCATCTCCCACATTGGAAACATCAATTTGGAACAACTATTCACCTACAAATACCTTTATGAGAGCTATATAAACCAGGTGAGAGATTATAGCACTTGGCTGTAGCACAAAAATCAAAAAGAATGTATTGAAGAGGGTAGGAAGGATGGATTTACGTTACTGGCAGCACCCTTCCCCCAAGCTCAGCCAACACAGGGAAGACAGGGAAGTGAGAACCAGACTTTGCCTCAGACGCTAATATCAGGCCTACATCAGTAAAACCTAGTGTTGGGCAGGCCTTCCTGGTCCCAAACTCCAGGCCAATACTATATACTGAGCATTCAGACATGAGAATTGCTTGAACTCAGAAGGTGGACGTTGCAGTGAGTCCAGATAGCACCACTGCACTCCAGCCTGGGCAACAAGAGTGAAATTCAGTCTCAAAAAAAACAAAAACAAAAACAAAAAAAACAAACAAAAAAACTTAAACAGACCTGCCTCGGCATGGGATCCTGCCATTCCAAGTTCCAGGCCTGCCTCAGATTTCAGACTACCCCAGAGCCAGGTCAGTCCACACAGCCCCAGTTTACCCCTGCCTCAATCTAGACTGGCATCCCTGACCTCAGGCACCAGGCTTGTCCCACACTAGGTCAGTTTTTATGGTCCCACCCTGAGGCAGACTTAGGCCTGACCCCACAGAACCTAGTGCTGGGCTGGCTCCACAGACTAAGGATCCAGGACCCAGGTTCAAGGTCTACTCTTTAGCCCCAGGATCCAGATTAGTTGTTGCAGATTTAGCCTCTAGGCCAGGAATCACACAAAACCATTTGCCAATGTGAATCGAGAATCATAAAAAGATTCATATATACTTCGTACTAGTAATTCCACTTACAGGAATCTATAACAAGGAAATAGGTAGAGGTAAAGTAAAAAATTTTATTTAGATAAATGTTCTTCAAGGCAGAGAAAAACCCAGTATTATCCGATAACAGACTAATAGATAAATATTGGGGAAAGTTACCAAGCAATACATATTTGTTGAATGAATTAATGTTTTCACTGAGTATTTAATACAATCAGAAAATATGATACAGTGAAAAAAGTAACATAAAATTCTGTATAAGCGTAATTGTTAATACTCAATATAGACTATAATACCACATCAAAAAAGAAAAAAAAAAAAAAAGAAATCCCTTGCTCAAAGGATTATCTCTAAGTTGTAGGATTATAAATCATTTTTATTTTGTTTTTCATACTTTCTATATTTTTCAAAATTTTATAACAAGAATATACTTACTCACATGGTCAGAAAACTGTATGAATCAATACAGAGCTATAAATGTACACCAAACATATCCTAAATATTTACGCCCTTAATATTCTTGTTTCACTAAGACTTCAGGTTTACCTTGGTCCAGAGTCACTGCCATTCACATCCAGTTTGAGTTCTTGGGGTTTAGTAAGCTCTTTTTCAGCAACCAGTTCTCTTGACTTAAACACAGCCTGAGTTCTTAACCTGTAAAAATTAATTTTAAGAATTTCTAATCTTCTGAACCTAAATGACAAACTTTGGAAAACCATGCTTTTTCAGCTCGATCCCCAGAAATTATTTTCAAATTAAAAATCAGTCTGTCAAAAATAAATGAGTAATTCCTAAATATACATAAAAATTGATTTCATAGTAACTTAAATTTTCTTTATTTATAGGAAAGGTAGGGAAGATTAAGTTGGTTAGAATATCATTTAAAAATTATATCCCTAATTCAATAGGAGCACTTGAAATCTCTGCCATAGAAAGTTAATTATTCCCTCTATCCATTGTAAGCAAGTGTATTTTTGATCACCAGTGTCTCAATGTGAAGTCTAGCACCTAATTATCACTGACCCTGATCACATTTATTTATATAGGAAGCACCCACTTCTCATACTGACATTTTAAAGAGTTAGGGCTACAGCTCACTGACCAACATATTTTCCCTGAGTCAAAGATGAATTCTTCCCAAAGAATTGGAAGACACTGTATCCATCAATGCTTACAGTTAGCCCCGCACTGATATGTACTGAGGAGGGAAAGCCATTGAAAACACAGCAAAAAGGTCTTCTACCAGGAGTTTGAGTGTCAGTCACCGGTATCAAATATGTGATACTTATTCTCTTGGCTTTTAAGAAATGTCCTCATTTGTAAAGTATATTTTTTAACTATGAAATCAAAACGTGAAGTGTAAAAACATTAAAATAATATTGTCATTTTCATCATTGTCAAAAGACAGTCTTATAATTCCAACTAAGTGCACAGTAATATACAAAGTACATGGATTAATTACTCTTAGGAACTTACAGTTTAAGACTAATATTTGGTAGTGACACATAGGTAGGTAAATACAGACGCAAAATGCCCAGATCAGGCAGTTATGAGAAAAGTGAAAAAACAGTAGCAATAATAGCAGTCAGAGTAGCTGCTACAGCTGTAGTGATGATCTTGATGACAGCAACTACCTTTAAGGAGTGCATTTTACACATACTATTGTACTAATCCTCACAACCACTCTATAACGTAGCTACTTTTACCATTATCTATTTACAAATGACTAAAGTGAGGGCCAGGCACATAACTCTCTCAAGGTGACATGTTTTTCACTGGTTAACACTGAATTTTATCAAAGGTATAAATCATGTATTAAGGCATATTGTTAGAGTAGGAGACAAAGGTAAATATTTATAATTAGCCTCGATTTTTATTCATTATACATACATTACTTTGCTCCAAAAATGATTTAAGATGGTTCTTGGCACAATCATGAATAATATTGTGGATAAATCCTCTCTGATCAATCTGGAAAGTGCTCACAAAGATAATACCCTTTCAAAAGTTGTTACTAGCAGTCATGTAGTAGCAAGGTGGCAGAATGAATCATTAATTACAATATAAGGAAATGTCAATGCCATACCAAATTTGTTCTAAAATGACAAGCTCATCCCAAGATTCTGAACTACTATAACAATTCTGTGCTACTCATTTGGTATTCAATTAGATTGCCTTCCCAATATTTTTCCGGAACATCCTAAGCACTATAAACAACGGCTTGTGAATAGCAGATAGTAATTCATGAATTTAGTTGAAATGAAATTCCCTGGGGCTGGGCATGGTGGCTCACACCTGTAATCCCAGCACTTTGGGAAGCTGAGGCAGGTGGATCACCTGAGGTCAGGAGTTTGAGATCAGCCTGGCCAACATGGTGCAATCCTATTTCTACTAAAAATACAAAAAGTAGCCAGGTGTGATGGCAGGTGCCTGTAATCCCAGCTGCTTGAGAGGATGAGGCAGGAGAATCGCTTGAACCCAGGAGGCAGAGGTTGTAGTGAGTCAAGATCAAACCACTGCACTCCAGCCTGGGCGACAGAGTGAGATGCTGTCTCAAAAAAAAAAAAAAAAAAAAAAAAAAAAAAAAATTCCTTGGGGAATGTAAATGACAAGATCAGTAGAGTTATATAAAAGTTAAAATTATGTAAAATTAAAGAGTGAGATTATGTGTATTATATTGAGCCAAGATAAAGTCTTGCTTATTTTAGTACTCTTCACAAAGTTTTGTGCAGAGCAGAGGGCTTAGTAAATATGTACTCAGACAAGGAGAATGAAACTGAATTACAGACCAACATTACACATTAAACAATAAGGTGCTAATTTTGGATATATTCAATAACAAATTATTAGTTATGTGAAAAAGAAACCAGACCTAGAGATTTTAAGTAGTGGGATTTTGACTGTGTTGTAATGAAGAGTCATGGTGTGGATAAATGGAAAAGTAGGACAGAGATATTTAAATCAGAGGGAAAGGTATGGCTTGAGAAAGAAACATGAATGGTATACTGAGAAGATCTCAAGGAAATAAATCTGCCTTTTGAAAAAAAAAAAACTATTTCTTAGGAAAAGTGGGACAAATGGGTAGAGAGGTTGTTCCAAATTATAAAGGCTTCAAATATTAGTTTGAATAAACATAACCTAATACAAAATTATCATGGGTTTTTAAAATTCGGAAGTGGCACAAGAAAAGCAATGTCTTAGGAGGATTCATTTGAGATATTCTTGTTATCTGATGCTAATGTGCAGAAGGTTGAATTTCAGATAACTCCAAAGTGATAAAATTACATAAATCTAAAAAGTAGACCAGAGAGTAGGGCAACTTTCAGCCTAGAAATATGAATTGTGATACTGATCAATTAAATGGATAGATTTATGGTCCTAGTTCTGGGTTGCACCAGCTATGGTAAAACATGGTGGGAGTAAGCAGGAGAACTAGAGGTGAAAGGTGTTCAATTAAAAATGTCTTGGCAGGGTGCGGTGGCTCACACTTGTAATCCCAGTACTTTGGGAGGCCGAGGCGGGCGGATCACGAGGTCAGGAGATTGAGACCATTCTGGCCAACATGGTGAAACCCCGTCTCTACTAAAAATACAAAAATATTTGTATTTTTGGATACAAATATTTGGATGTGGTAGTGCATGCCTGTAATCCCAGGTACTTGGGAGGATGAAGCAGGAGACTCTCTTGAACCTGGGAGGTGGAGACTGCAGTGAGCGGGGATTGCACCACTGTACTCCAGCCTGGCAACAGAGCAAGACTCTGTCTCAAAAAAAAAAAAGAAACAAAAAAACATCTTGAGGCCAGGAATGGCGGCTCACACCTGTAATCCCAGCACTTTGGGAGGCTGAGGTGGGCAGGTCAGGAGTTTGAGGCCAATTTAGCCATCATGGTAGAAACCCTGTCTCTACTAACAAAAATTAGCCGGGTGTGGTGGTGTGTGCCTATAATCCCAGCTACTCGGGGAGCCTGAGGCAGGAAAATCACTTGAACCTGTAAGGCAAAGGTTGCGGTGAGCCAAGATCACGCCATAGTACTCCACCCTGGGCAACTCTCCAGAGAGCAAAACCCAAATGATCAAATTAGAATATAGGCAATACTGAAGAGAGAATTTACTGAAGTTAGGAGGGCAAACAAGCACACAAAAAGATGCTCAACATCATTCGTCATTAATTAAATGCAAATTAAGACTGCAATGAAATGTCACCATACACATATTAGAAGAGGTAAAATAAAAATTAATGACAATACCAAATGCTAGCAAGGATGTGGAGAAACAAAGCACTATATAATAACAAAACAGCAATTCAGCTTTTGAAACACTGTTCTTAGGGAAGAATTGCAAAGGGAAGAACAGCCTAAATGTGGATAGGTTTATGAGAATTCGTCATTCAACAGGTCATGCTTCACGGCCAGAAAGGGTTGAATTTAGAAGACTCGGAGCCATCATTTGTTATATTTTATATTATGGCAGGTAAAAATAAATTTGGAATGATCATAGCTAATCTCACTGCTTCACAATCTAATTCCACACTCCGAAATCTCAAGCTTTTATTTAATGCCTAATATTGTTCACAATGATATCAAACAGCAAAGGATTCTGTGTAAAGGTAGTATCATTTTAAAATGCTGTCTTTGGAACCCAGCAAAAGTTAACACCAGACTGCTCAGAAACAGATACTCTAAGCTAACAATTTGGAAGACAAGATAATCTCTGAAGTCTTCCAAAGAATACAAGGGAATTTACTTAGCAGACATTTGCATCTTGAGCAAGCCAAGAGCCTGAAGAATCTCTGGTTCTACACATCTGCTACTGTAATACAACAGTTTTACACTGTGTTTTCCAAAATACAGACATTGCTAAAGGAACAGGCAGAACTCACCAATTGTAATCCAGTCGAGACTGGTGAAGCTGCTGCTGTTTCAGAAGAAGCTTTGTCTCCTGCTGGGCCAGCAGGTGCTGAAGGCGCTCCTTTTCAATTTCTAGCTCCATTTTCTGAAGCATCAGTTGCCGCCTTCTCTCTTCTGAGATGTGCTTTTTCAAAGTTTCACTGGGTTGTAGCATCCCTCCACCATGCACCAGAGATGCCCAAGAAAGACCACAATAACTGCATGATTCTGGATGTGTCTTAGGATATTGAGGGGCCGTGTTCATAGGGTGGCTCTCACGAACACGATCTGCAGCAAGTCTGCGACCACAGCACTGACTAGGAATAGGCTTAAGGTGTCGACATTCCTTTCTCTGCAATTCTTCTTGGGGCATTTTCTCTGTCAGGACTGCTTCTACTGGTTTTCTCCCTGGAGATTCATAATTACATGTTCTAGTCTCTGATGGTATCTTCTCTAGATCATCTTTGGGATGACGAGGAGTTACTGGTTTCAAAGAATTATTCCTAAACCCTATAAGGGATTCTGAAGCTGAATCCTGGATCGCAGACTTAGGTCTTTGCTTGGTTTGATAGCAGGTTTGTGGTCTGGCTACACTCAAGTAGGAACCATCCAGTTCCACAGATGAACACTGGAGAGTGCTTTTCCTACTGGATACCTAAAAAGAACCACAAGATTACCTGTCAAATAAGAACACAATAAAACAAGTTCTTTCTATTGGTTTTTCAGAAATCAGTGATATATGTTTACCAAGCCAAAGCCATTATTTTGTCTTAAATATTAAATTATAGCATTCACACAGCTAAACAGACTTGTGCCCCAAAGCTACATCCATTTTCAAACAACCTACACTTCAGTAAATCCATATAAAGACGAGAAAAATAAAGTGCTGCTACATATTGCTTAAGCAAGATTCTTGGTGATTTCAGGAGTTGCAAATAATGAGAATGACATAAAATCAATTTTGAGAAGAGGTAAAAGCCTTAAATATTAACATCTTAAAATGTTTACTTTTGAATACTGACCCAAGGAATCCATTCAGTCACCTTAAATACTCTTTGGCCATTACACAGGATGAGATTTGATGTAAAACATTTCATCTTATACCAAATAGAATGTAACTTATTGGTAGAACTTTGATGAGGTTTTATAAATGTCTACAGAACACAGATAAAACCAACCACTTTCAACAAAATAGGACTCTAAGCAAAAACAGTTATTTAAATACAAAACATTTAATTTCATCTACAAACATAATGATTTTTCAATTAATCTATACAAGTGATTACAGTCTGACAGAACTCAGGCAGAAAGGAAGCAGTTGCAAATTATCTCTGACATGTCAATAGAGTCAGATTTTGCAGCATTTTAGCTGCAAGCCTGTTCTATCAGTGAGAACAAAACTTAATCTGTATCAATGATTCTCAAACTTTAATGTGTATCAACCTGGAGGGTGCTTGTTAAAACATGAAACAATAGCTTCATCCCCAGAGTTTCCAAATCTTTCTGTCTGGAACAGAGTCAGAGAATTTGCTCATGTTGCTGATCTGAGGCCATACTTTGAAAACTACTGGTCTATATAATGGAACATCTGCGTATGCCTTACTATTAGCCTTCGCCTAGGAAGGTTGAATTGTTATACTTAGCTCATCTCTGAACATTGTTGACTTAGTGCAACTAAGCAACATTTCTTCAGTGTATTTCAGAAACATGGTATATCTAGATTCCAGGTTGTCTAAACAGAAATATTCTAGTTTAATGTAAATGTTGCAGGTGTTGCGGATGAGCAACTTGCTTATGAAGGTGGACACTTGTAATTAACAAAATAATGAAAGATATTGATGTGCAAGAAAGAATCTTAAACTAAACAGATGAAGGTGCATTTCTGAAAATGAATCCAGCCAACGATCAGACTCTTCCAAGGGTAGCCCTTTAGAATATAAAAACTTCTCTTCAATTTAGATCTGGAGCACAGCAAAAAAGGGCCTCCAACTCCAATTACTTAACTAGCAAGATGGGTTGTTTGAAGATGTGTTATTCCTAGCAGCTGTTATTTCTTTTGGGCAGCCAGAGTATAGCCTTTAACACAAATTGGAAAGAACAAATCCACCTGTGGAGAAGTTATGTGTTCAAGAGCTATTTACTCTAGATACATAGATTCAGTCTTTAGTGAAAGATAAAGAGAATATAAGAGAAAGAAACTAAGCAGATCTCAACAAGTTATTTGAAGTGCCCTTGACAGCTTCCACTATCACTTCCTCTTCCCTCAGGTTTTCATTCAAAGCCCATTTATGTTAACACTTTACTTTCTTGCCATTTTCTATTTCTATTCAAACAAATCCAAAATATCTTCTGCATATTGAACACTTACATTAACCAAACAAGCGAAAATTCTTAATCTTTTATCTATATCCTATGAAATAATCTCACTTTTCACACACAATTATTTGCATGCTAAGGGAAGCTTATTTGCTCAATGCTGCAAGAGAAATACGACTTTTTCAGTAAACAAATATATTACAACTTCTGTATTAGTTTCCTACTGGGGCTATAACAAGTTAGCCAAACTCTGTAGCTTAAAATAATACAAACGTATTCTCTTACAATTCTGGAGGTCAGAAATTTGAAATCTGTTTCACTGGGCTGAAGTCAAGATGTCGGCAGGGCCGGTTCCTTTGGCTCTGAAGAGAGAATCAGCTTCCTTGCCTTTTTTAGTTTCTCGTGGCCACCTGTATTTCTCACTTTTATGGCCCTTCCTCCGTCTTTACACTGTATCACTCCAACTCCTGCTTCCATCATTATCACACATTGCCTTTTCCTCTGATTCCTTCTGCTCCTTCTAATAAGGACCACTTGGACTTTATTGGGCCTACCTGGGTAATACAGGTAATCTCCCCCTCTCAAGAGCCTTAATCACATCTGCAAAGTCTCTTGCTTTACAAAGTCCTTTGTGACACGTAATGTGACATTTGGGAATTAAGACATGGTCACATTTGGAGGGTATTTTCAGTCTACTATGACCTATTTTAAAAAAAAGAAATAATTTAAAACAACTGAAATGGCTATCTACTCCACAGACATAAAACAACTGAATGAAAAATGAGATCCCTAGTGTAAGGGGAAGAAAATCCCACCAATTTATTTTGCAATAATTGCAAATGATGGACTGATGGGTAAAAAGTATCAACTAACAGAGATACCCAGCAACACCATGTTTCTTATCCTATGATAAAAGATGGAGGGCTATTACAGTGATTAAGATTTTAATTGAATGACTGTAGTAATGCTAAAGGATTTCCATTTAAATGAGAATGCATCACATCTGAGAAGACTGGCTCTTCTTCAAAGAAGACATGCAATCCTGTGCACCAAACAGATGACAAGCAATAGAATATGAACCAGTGCTGGGCAAAATTTCTAATAAGCTACTTCATAAAAAATTAATTTTATTTTACATCTAAAGGGAAACTCTAGTCCACATTAATATCTCCTACTCTGAACTTCTATAGTACTTACTGTCAGTACAAGTATTTAACATTTATCACCTGCTACTTAGTATGGTAAACCATCTTTCACTATAATTAATATATATTTCAAATGACAGCTAAGTTTTTAAAAGATCTAGAAATTTAAATTAAGTATTTTATATCATTATATATTCAAATCTATATTTTATAGTCTCATTTTTGTTTCATAACATTATTTACATATGTCCATTTTTAGGTACTAACCCATTCTACACTTACTTTAATGGTACTCATTGTGAAATTATCCACAAAATCAAGTATTTGGAATAATTTAAAAAACTTTTTTTCAGGTAGTTAATGTTTCATATTTCTGAGAGGTAGTACAGCTTCATGATTTTAATGCATGCTTTGCTCAGAGGGCAATGCTCTGTCAATTACCTGCTGGGTTACTACCCATGTGTAATAGGCAGAATTCTAAGATGGTCCCCAAGATTCTCACCCCCCAGTGTACACACCTTTATTATCTCCTCTTCTTGAGTGTGGGGAGGACCTGTGAATATGACAGGATATAAATCCTGTGATTATATCACATTTTATGGCAAATGAGACTTTTCATATGTAATTAAGGTTCTTAATAAGGTGACTTTGAGTTAATAAAAGGGGAGACTATACTGGGTAGGCTTGATCTCATCAGGTAAGCCCTTTAAAAGAAGGTCTTATTCTGCTCCCTCATCCCCTACCCCATACAAAGTTGGAGATTCTCCTGCTGGACATGAAGAAATAAATTGCGACGTGTGGGAGGGCCAATCAAGTGGGAGAAAGCTCTGGAGCAGAAAGCAGTCTCTGGCCAATAGCTAGTAAGTAAATGGGACATCCATCAGACAGCTGCAAGAAACTAACTTCTGCCAACGACCATGTGGATTTGGAAGAGGATCTTGAGCTCCAGATAAGAATGCAGCCCATCTGAACTTTAATTTTGCAGCATTGTTAACAACCTAAGCAGAGGACCCAACTAAGTTGTGCCCATACTCATGACCCATGGAAGCTGTTGTGAAGTAATAAATCTGTGTAGCTTTAAATTACCAGGTTAGTGGTAATTTGTTACACAGCAATAGAAAACTAATATAGCATATTACTCAAATTGCCCAAGCCTCAGTTGCTCATCAGTAAAACAGGGATTTAAAAAAGCATCTATCTCAAAACTGAATATGGTGGTGAGAAGATGGGCAGTTATCAAGGACGCCCATTATAAAAGTCCAATTGACAAAAAAAAAATCACTCATATTATTTTTTCCAATGAGAACACTGTATGTGGTGTGTAGAGGAGGTGGGGGAGAAATCCTCAAAGGGCATGTTCAGTTACAACAGGTTATACCTAAACTGTCTTCTAAAGTGAATGAGTTCAGTCACTTACCTTTATTTTGTTAAAGTTGAGTTTGCAAGTCAGGCCAGAATTTAACTGCCTGAGATAACAGAGAAGTTATTCATCTTTCTCTTTCATACAAAATATGTCAGTCTTACGTTAACATCTTGCACTGCCTTCTAGGGTTTTTGTAATGATTAAGTGAAATAATTCATATAAAGTGCTTCGACCATGTCTAACATAAAGTTAGTATTCAAAAGAATGCTTCCCATGATTGTTATTAGTATGATTCTTCTCATTTAATTCTGACTCAACAATTTTTGAAGGAAAGAGCTATATCTATCCCTCTGTGTACATTGCATTGGGGCTCACACATTCTCAATAAGCTTTGGTCTGCTATATAAGTTTAACAGAAAATTCAAGATGGAGTATGGGTCACAGTAACTAAAGAAAATTAGAATCTCCAATTAGGCTGAATCATGTGCTATAAAGGAAGAAAAGAGAAACAGAAAACTCTATGTAAGTAAGAATCTAAATATAAGAAATTAAGTTATTAGTAGAGTTGAGACTGATGTTGCCTTTAGTACACAAATAAGTAACAATGGGCCTGAATGGAGCAGAAGTATTTTTCTTTCTGAAGCTGCTCCAGGATTTCTATACGTGCAAATATAACTTATCTTAACTAAGGCTTAACCAACACAAACTCCAAAATGGCTGCCTCTGGCATATGGGTTTAATATGATTGTTTTCTGAGACATAACACTAACTTAGAAATCAATGTTTTTAAACATTGACACATAATTTACAATAAAATGCAAAGACCTTCAG